TGTATAAACATAGAATTACAAATGTTTTATTAAAAATTTATAAAAAAGAAACAAATATATATATTGAAGTCTTATCGTTAATGTGATACTACAATCGTAACAACGATTCATTTTGTTTTATATTATTATTCCATTTCAAGATTTAGATTACCATTAAAAGGCTCTATTCTCCGATACCGTGTCGATTTTATTGCGCCTATACATGATTGATATCCATATAAGATATTACAAAATATCATTTCTCGTAAATATTAAAAGTTTACATGGCTCTAAGTCGACTATAAAGTGCATGTAGAAAAAATTAAGCATGTAAATGTAAATTTTTATATAATGCAAATTTTCTTAATAAACTCTCTTCTTTTAATTTTAATCAATTGCGAAATATTTAATCAGACATTTATAGACGGACACTTTATATATATATATATATATATATATTTTTACATATATGATAACTATTTTTACGATAATTTTTCGCGGAAAGTCACAAAAAGATAATAATAAACACCATTACTCGAGCAAGTTAATCTCAAAAAAAATAGAAGTACATTTACCACTATCTTTGAAATGTTAATTCTATATCTTCGTAAGCATAATAAAAGATCTTGAAGAAAAAAAAAATATATATATATATATAACTACACGGAAGATAATGGATCCAGTGATCATTGTCCAACCTATTCCATTCATTTCGTTCTAAGAAACTATTGACTATTTATGTCGCAAAAGGATATATATTCTCGTATGTTCTCCGTACATTGTACGTAGAAGAGATAACGATTAGATTGGATTAAAAGTTAGATAATCAAGAAGACAATTGTCTTATTTTGAAACACGAACCGCCAATTAGACAACTCGTATTCAAAAGTATGTAAAAGAGATAGTCTTAAAAAAAAAAAAAAAAAAAGGAAATGAGAATGAAGGAAAGACATTTTTTTCTTAAATGAATGATAAACGAATAGATTGATTTTAAATGGGTTAGAAAGTGAAGACAAACGTTCTCAATGATATATCGTTGTATCTGATATCACTCTACTATATCAAGGAAATAAAAGTAAAAGCAAAGTATGTATTATCGTTGAAAATTGTTAATATTTATATATATATATATATATATATATATATATATATATATATGCAATATATATATATATGCAATATATATATATATGCAATATATATATATATGCAATATATATATATATGCAATATATATATATATGCAATATATATATATATGCAATATATATATATATGCAATCTTTCAGACAAACATTCCCATAAACGTTAATGAAAACTCTGTTTCTATCCAACTAGAGAACGAGTTCTCCTTCGAGTGTCCAAGGGAACCAGTTCAGGGTCAAAAGGAATAAAAAAGAAAAGAAATTCGAGAAAAGATAAGTTCGCGAGAGACGACTTATTCGAGTATTCGAACAACGTTAAGATTCTGACTCAGTTTTTATCATATTATTAGATCAAACGATATAACGTTAATGGGAAAAAAAAAAAAAAAAAAAAGAAATAAAAATAAAAATTAAAACGATCCATCGCTATAATATATATTATCTTGAATATATATCCTCGGCCAAGAAATAACTAAAAATCATATTTATTTTCATTGTTACTCATTGTAAACGTGTATGCTTACATATCGTACGTACATACGTATATATGTAACTAAATGAGGGAGGCAAAAAAAAAATTGAGTTAATGACCGATTAAGATTGATCGTAACACTAGGAATAAAATGGCTAACATATTATCTATATAGATTTGATCAAAAATTTAATCTTAAGAATAGATACGTGACGAAATATATATATATATATATATATATATATATATATATATATATATATATATAAATCAATAAGTAAATAAATATTCTTTCTATATATTCATCTGTTATCGAAGAGAAAGAAAAGTTACGATCGAGTAGTATTTTTTGCTTTTTCTTTTTCTTTTTTCTTTTTTTCTTTTTTTTTTCGAATTTCAAACGCTTGAAAACGTGTTCGTGTTTAAAATGATCGACGCATGATTTGCATTGGGAGTGACATGAAGCTCCTCCTCGGCGTCGTCGTATCGAATGATGAACAAACACATGTCACAGAGAGAGAGAGAGAGAGAGAGAGAGAGAGAGAAAGAGAGAAAGAGAGAGAGAAAGAGAGAGAGACAACGAGACTCATCTACATCTCGCCAAATTCGAAGCGTATAACGTAGCTCCCACTTCGATACGTCATTTTCTTAGCGCATCGCGAAGCGCCGCGCATCGTCACTCACTCAGTCGCTAATCCAGCAGCGTTAGTTGGCGAGAACGTTGAGAGAGAGAGAATGGGAGGGGGAGAGAGAGAGAGAGAGAGAGAGAGAGACAGAGGGAGGGAGAGAGAGATGTCTCGTATGAGATTTACGAGGCGCTATTACTTAAAGTCATATCTTTTTATCAATAAACTTTTCATGAAATTTTAAACGATACAATAAAATACGCATTAACGTTTCTATCCAAAAATGATTAATTCAAATGAAATCTTATACTTTTCACATTTACGAGTAAATAAATGTAATCATTTTAGATATATGTAACGATATATGTAATGAAAATTTCAACGTTGTTGGTTATGTAAAAGATAATACGCAATTACGTTAAGAGAATTTACAGTGGAAAAAGCACTTTTGCCTTTGACCCCTTTGACTGATCGGTAATAGCGTATCACGACATAACCGTCCCTTATTATGGACTATATTTTATCGTATAGATACCTTTATGAGGGTTAACCAGATATTCCTGTATTCTGAATGGTGTTAGAGATTTATTAAAATAATGGACCTTCAGCCCTTTAAAAGAATAATCTTATAAAGTCTCTTTAGAAACGAACGAGAATAATAATCCTTTCTTATCGATATTTTTTTTTCTTTTTTATTTTTAAGTATGTCAAATGTTTTCGAATGATCAATATCTTTCAAATTGTAAACTTGCTGCTTGATTTCTTTTGCTTTTTCGTTTTTTCTCTATCCCCTCTCCCACACCCCTTTTATGAACGAGAATAGAAAAGTAATAATTTAGTCACGGATATGTCATCACGATTATCTTTCGTTCGCTAATGATTCAAAAAATTGTCCTCGGCTTTACGTACTTACACGATGCAGCGAAGCGGAGAGAACAGAAATTAGAGGCCAGAGCTCGATCCGACTAAAGCCCGAGCCGTACTGAACTCTCTCACGCAACGTTTCCCTTCGTGTCTCGACCTCTACTACAAAAATAGTGGCGAACACGCGAGGAAGATGAAACTTCGTAATCGATATGAATTTCTTTTCGAGAGAGATAACCACGATATCTATATTATCGACGAACGATTCTTCGATGGTCTTCTCATTTCCGTTCGTCACTCATTTATCTTTTCCTCTTTTTTCTTTTTTCCTTCTTTACCCTCATTCGATAAGGTAGAAAACTTTTGACTGTTAGCAACTATTTTTTTCTTCATTTTTTTCTTTTTTCATTTTTTTTTAACAGTTCTTTGCACCGTTTCTTGATTTTTTTTCAATGTTTTATTTTCTTTTTGTATACATTCATAGGCCCCTAATCAGCTAATTCCATCGGCCGATCCAGATCCTCCCCGATAATAAATAAATGCACCGTGTTCCGGTAATGCGCGATATCGAGATATACATACAACGTTAATGTTAATTAAATATATATGTACACACAATTATTTGCCTACCTAAGCTAACTAGGTTTGCAACGAGATTAGTATTGAGAATCGATTGCCCTTCATTCATTCGATATTATCAATGATTATATATATATATTCGTAATCGTGTTTTTTTCTTTTTCTTTTTCCTGTTTTTGTTTTACAAAAATGTTAATATTCGTGTTTGTTCGGTCATGTTGGAATAGCAATCGAAAAATCGTTTCTCGTTAATTGTTATCTCGTTACTAGAATATTCATATATATGTATATAAATTATACACACCATACGTTCACACTCACACAAAGCAATCAATCACAGGAGAGTATATGTGCGCATACATGTGTGTGTGTGTGTGTGTGTATATATATATATATATATATATGTACGCATGAATATACAGTATACGTACTTTAAAACGATCCTTTCGTACGTTCGTCAAGAAGCATGGCGTTCGTAATATTTTTTTTTCCTTTTTATTATTTATTTATTTATTTATATATATATATATATATATATATATATATATATATATATATTTACTTTTTTAACGATTGAGTAGATGTACGAAGCACCCTATTTGTTATACATACATATACGAAGTGACGAGTTTAGTAAACGATGGCCGACCTTTCGTATTTGAAATCGACGATCGTAATATAAATATTTCGTGTGCCCCTTGCGAAGCATTTCGCGTAAAATCCATAAGAGTGTGTGATATACATCCGTGTATACATTTATGTGTATATGTGTATGCATGCGCACGCACGCGCGCGCGCGCTCGCGCCGGAGCGTGTGTTATGTGTGTATTTGTACTACATATGTCCATATGTTCGTTCGTTCGTTCATTTGTCGATTATAAAACGCGTAAAAAAATTCGCGAAAGATTCGTAGGAGGCAAAAGAAAAAAATCATTTTACGATCCATCCGCTATGAGATACGAAAAGATGGGCGTCATTGAACACACCCACGCGTACACGCAACAGATACACACACTCGAAGCACAAATTCATTCTCACATATGTTATACATACACAAACAAACACACACACATACATACACATATACATATACACATGTACACATTCACACACACACACACACACAAATATGGCGCACCTAATCGACATAGATATAAGTCCGTGCGCGTATCTCTGGAAGTCGAAATGAATAAAGTTAAAAAAATATAATCTTTAAAATAGAAACTATAACCGTCTTTTTCTTTTGCTACTGCTCTATTGCGTTACTTATGACATCATTTAATCTCCCGTTTTTATATTCCATATTTCCCCTCCCACCCGTCCCAAACCCCTATTTTTTCTTTTTTCTTTTCTTTTTCTCTTTTTTTTTTTCTTTACTTTAATCATCGTGTCTACTCTCATTATCTCATTTTATTATCGAAAACACATCGAACATTATTTTTTATACGGAATCGTATGCTCTATCCGCTAACGTACGCATACATACATACGCGTACGATACACATGTACGTTTCTTTCGTTCCGTTGGAAATCGAAAATGTTATTATTTATAAAATATAGAAAAACATTGTAATATTTGTTGTAAGAAAATGAGTACTCTTCGTGGAAAGATCCAACGAAACGAATAACTAAACTAATATATCGGAAAAATATCAATAACTATTACTTATCCAGTCTCAATAAGATCGTCAAAGTAAAGAGATTGAAAGATTTCAAATCTCATTTTCGTCCTGTTAGTATTCTAAACGCGGTAGACATAGTTATTAGAAAATCTATATTCTCTCTCTTTCTCTCTCTCTCTCTCTCTCTCTCTCTCTCTCTCTCTCTCTCTCTTTCTCTCTCTCTCTCTTTCTCTCGTTCTTTCTAAAATCGTCATCGTCGTCATGTGTGCGTCTTCCGGTCAAGAAATGCGTCCTTTAAAAAATTAGTTGAAATTTCAGTCGCGAGGTCAACAATCATCGAAATTTCTTCTGATCGTTTCTTAATTATTCCTTGTCCTCGATCTCGTGATAATCAGTGCCCAACAACGTTGATTTATCCTCTTCCTGTACTTCCGTTTCTGGTTCCTCAACATCGTGCCGTTGCCGTCGTGACGCCTTTCGTTGAACGTAAAACATTAAGATGATGCTCAGACTCGCTAATCCTGCCAATCCTGCTAGAAGGATGTACATCGACATTGGCATCTGATTTGGACCCTGTAAAGTTGGTAGTCTTCTTAATTCGAAATAATAATCGTTTGTAATGACATTCGATAATTAAAATATTCAATGCAATTATCGTCATATAAATAGAAGGACGTTTCGTTTATTAAAATTATAAAAGAAATATTTTATATTTTAATTTTTAATTCATTGCACTCGAATAATTTCATATTGATTTAACGAATGAGAATTAATTTAATATGTCAATAATTATCGAACCATTCTTTTATAGATTAGATTATATATATGTAGAATACATATGTATATATACATATATATATATATATATATATATATATGTATATATAGATATACAAGTAAATATATAGCACAATTTGTTAAACTTCAAGGCGCCATAAATCGATAATATATCGGTATAAAGTACACCGTAGGTGTAGGTAAAATTCATATTGATATTCTCTACAATATTTGTTAGACTTGATATATCGATTTCCATTAAAAAAGAAAAAAATTGACATGACTTCTATATCTTGACAACAGTGACCTCTATGAGATAGCTGCAATACACATAGCCATTTTCCATCTCAAAATCTAATAATTCTTATTTCAAGCGTTTGTTTATAAAACAAATACGATCGGAGATATTTGTTCGCGTCGTTTAATATCGGGACATCCTGTATATATTTACATATGTATATACTTCCTATAATTATACAGATTTATAATTAAATTAGAGATTTGAAGCAATCAATGTAATTCATATTTTATTAATTGACGTGAGTAGGTGGAAATTAATTATCGGATGGTGCAATGTGTGGTCGATCCGGGAGAGAAAAAAAAAAGAAAAGAAAAAAGAAAAATATGATGACGATATTGAGAAGCGAGGACTTGTTCTTATCGGAGGAATGTTTCGTTCGAGATATTACGCGTTCCAATCTTTCGCCGAAGAAAATAACGGAATCCCAATGGAGGCCGTACTAAAGAAAATAAGAAATGGATGCTATTTCTTCGTCCGTTTTTAGATTTACCTGTCGTGTTTATCGATCGTACAGTACGTGACTGTTTAAATGTCTGCTGCAATGGGATCGATATATACGAGTGTTTTAAATTAATAGCTTCGGAAGTGAAACGCGAGTTGAGAATACTCTAAGTCTTTCGCTAAAATCGAATTCGAAATTCCTTAGAGGGAAGATCTTTCGGAATTTCAAATGTATTGCTCCTTGGCTAGAATACCAAGGATCGATAACCTATTTCCTAATAAGAAAAAGAAAAAGGAGAAACGGAAATGGATATATAAAGGAAAAAAGAGATAACCGTGTATCTCTACCATAACCGTTAATAAATAATATTTAACAAATATAATGATAATAATTAAAAGAAAAAAACAAAAACAAAAAAGAAAAAGGAAAGATAATTAAGATTTTTCTCCAACGATTAAATTTTATTATTACGAACTAACGATATTTACTAAAGGTTTCTCTTTACTCGCTCTTGAACAAGATTCTTTAATGAATAATTAATAATTCAATCGTTATCATTCCAAGAATATTATACTATGTTTGTCCAACAATTTCGATGAAAATTCGAAATTTAATACGAGCTAAATAAATTCAACGTCATTTTTATAAGATAATTGTATATTAATAAAAGTATTTAAAAATGTTGCATGAAACGCGAGTAACGAAAATAAAAATAGAAAATAAAAACAAAAAACAAAAAAGCAGAAAAAGAGAAAAAAAAGAGAAAATAAAGTTGAGAGTATTTAATGTCGTTTGAAATGCGATAAAGATTTTATAATTAATTAACACATTTATCTCTTATTCTAGAAACAATTAGACATCATAAGTATCTTATGCAAAAAGAATAATACGAGTTAGAATCCCTTGACAAGTATATCTATCCATTTAAAGTCACCTGTTGAAATCGTACGACCTATCTAATGAATAAATTCACTAGATAATTCAATTATCGGTAATCATCTATGTACCTATCTATCTATCTACCTATATATTCAAGCGAAAAGGGTCAAAGCAGAGAAAATAATACGGATGCAAGAAGGAACGGATGGCGAGATGACAAAGCCATTATGAATAGAATTCGATCGATCTCTGTAATCCTTATAGAATAGATTAGTATTTCAATAATACGAACGATTAAATTCAACATTGTCCTATTTTCAAAAGTTTAGTATCTTGCAGGGAATATCAATGAAAAGTATCAAACGAACGTTTAATAAAATTATGATATATTTAAAATCAATAAAAATTATTGTTTCATATATTTGAAATGAAATTTGATGAGAAAATATTTGATAAAATCGTCATTCTTCGAATATTCAATTAATTGAATTTATACTTTAATATCAGTATTAATTAAGCTAATTAAATTATAAGCGTATAATGAATTTCAATATTCATTAGTATTATTTATGTTGAATTTCTTTTAACGAACGATTTCATCATATAATATTATTACTTTTATAGTAATAATATAATACATAATATAATAATATATAATCACGATTATATTATCGCGAGTTCACGAGTAAAAAATCGAATATTAATAATAATATTCGATATATATATATATATATATATATATATATATATATATATATCTACGTGTTTATAAATTATTTATATTAATATATATTAATATAAAAAGGATAAAGACAGATAAAGCTCACCTTCCATTGAAAGTCTGAAGAAGGGTCAGAAAAAAACCACTTGTGTGTCCATGGCTTGATCGTTCCTTCCGGTGTTTTAAAGATCAAACCTTCTAGACTTAGCCCATGCGCGAGAACGCTCGTCGTGATATTACCTTTTTTATACGAAGCTATCCCAGCTTTCATATACATTTGTGGTATCGTTTCGTTCTCTCGTAACTTTAAGGTCACTCGTGGCATTTTTCCTTTCCTAGCCGTTCCAGAGGACGTTTTCGTCATTTCCGAAGGTTCGATGCTACTCAACATGGACTTCGAGGATTCCGAGGATAGAGTCGAGAATGAGGAAGATTGAGAACTCGAATAAGAACTAGTCTGTCGTGTATTCATCGACGAATCAGTCGGAATTCTTGCTTCATCCATAACAGTGTCCTCTGGAAATGAAGCAGATACGTTTGTTATTAACTAATAAGTAAATATTTATTTATGAAATAGATACTTTCTATTAGATTCCTATCTTATTTTTTCTATTATTTTATTAAAAAATCTTATCGAGTTCAAGTGTATACTTTGAGATATGATGACGATAGAGTACAGTGAAGGAAGAAAAAAAAAGAGGATCGTTTGTAGTAATAAATTTTATAAAACTAAAAGTGATAAAATAAAATCTGTTAAAAGGATAAGTGGAATGTTTATAAGTAATCATTTTACACTAAAATTATTTAAGTCTCGATATAAACGCAAATATATCTATGCGTATATGATATGTATAGATGCGTACCTGGTAATATGTTGTCGGTAGTGCTGTGAAATTATTTGTAGAAATAAACTGTGATAGTAAAAGTAACAAAATAAAATCATCTGAATAATAAGTGAATAATTATATAACTGATCGTATTACGTTTAAATTTCCTTATTGATATCATTTACATACATTTCTTTTGGTAAAATACAAAATAACATTGACGTCCAAACTTGTCATATGAAGTAATATTAAGTAAATTTATAATTTTAGATATTTATTCATTTTGGAGTATTTATATTTTCAAACACAATATATAATTAGGGCATGCAGAAAAATATTAAATCATATTCAAATTTCATTAAATTAAATTCAAATCAATTAATTTCTTAATATTAAAGCCAAAAAATTAATATTAATAAGCAATACGTTAATATATATATATATGTACGTACAATTAGATATATGATTCTGTAGTATCATTTATAGAAACAAATAGTGATGATAAAAATGACCAAATATAGTTTATTAATAATAAATATATATATATAAAATTGATTTTTTTACTTTAAAATCTCTTGTTTTATAAAATTCTTAATATGTAACAACATGTTCGTATAAACATAAATATATATATATATGGATATATACCTGGAGATATGGTATCGGCAGGCTCAAACTCATCATTCCTGAATGAATCGATCGGCATCGTTCGATCATCAAAATCTTTATTTTTTAAAGAAGCACTAGTCGACGTTATCATCATGGTCGTTGTCCTTGGCCTCGTCGTCGTGATCGGAACTTGGTATCTATTTTTCTCGGCTATCTCCTCCTCTTCTTCTTCTTCTTCTTCTTCTTCTTCCTCTTCTTCTTCGCTGATCTTATCACTTTTCAACGCGTTTTCGGTTGTCGTTGACGTACTACCGGTCGTCGACGTGCTGGTCGTCGTCGTTGTTGCCGTCGTCATCGTCGTCATCGCCGTCGCCGTCGCCGTCGCTGTTGCCGTCGTCGTCGTTGTTGTTGTTGTTTCATAGCCGACCCTACCCATAACCAGTATCGTGCCGGCAAAGAGATTGTGATCGTTCTGATTGTTCAGGAATCGCGTTGCAACGCAAAGAAATACGACCACCAAAAGCGTGCATATCATATACTTGAGGAGTCTCAATGGTAATTTTCTGTTCGCCGGAATCGTCGATTTTGTCTGTGATAATCCGTTTGAAGTGAATTGATCACTTTGTGGTAAAATCATGTATTGTAGACTGGCATCGCCTTTTCTCACGGTTTTGTACATCCTTAGGAAGAAAAATTAAGCCTGTGCAAAAAAAGATTATTCCCTTTGTAATTTATATGTAATTTATAATAACTGTTTTATATTTTTAAAATCGGCAAATTATTACAAACGATAATATATATATATATTTATTTATTAATATATAATAATAAATAATCTTAATAAATATATATATATATATATATATTATTAATAAATATAATCTTAATAAATATATATATATATTAAGATATATATATATATATATATATATATATATATATATATATTTATGCGGTTATCTATGTCAAATTGGAAAGGATATGGATACCAGAAGTAAAGCAAAGATATCGGAAATGATAAAAGGAACCATTTGTATTCTTGAAGATTTATGATATGTCGGTTTGCATGATAAATGATCGGTAAATGTCTGCACATAATAAAAAAAATTCGATATTACTATGTTGATAATTTTAAGATAAATATCGTTCATTAGATGATTTGTATTTCCTTTTCTTTCTATTCTTTCTCTCTCTCTCTCTCTCTCTTTTTCTCCCTCTCTCTCTCTCTCTCTCACTTTTTCTCTCTTACTCTAAAAGAAAGAGACCACCTTCGCGTCGATATGTTAACAGAGAAAATTCGACAAAGATGTCGTCTAGATCTTAAAAAATGAAACCAATGATTAAAATAAAATTTAGGATCTACGTTGATTACGTACAATACCCATCCGTAGTACTCACGAGTAAAGAAATGCGAAAGAAGATTGTACGTAGTCGCAGAGAAGAAATTTGTTCGCTCGTACGGTCGACGAAACTACGCGACGATTCTTGGGAACGTAGGGAGAAAACAGCCTCGTCGGCTGTGAGGGAAATTCTCCTCGGGCCTGGAAAATGCGCAGATGCGAAGGAAGAAAGGGGGGTCAAGAAATACCATGTTAGGGCGCATGCGTTATCGACGAACTTCCGGAAATGGGATACAATTTGAACGAGGAAAAGGGCTTCAAGGTTCATGAACGACAAAATAAGAGAAAGAGAGAAAGAGAAAGAAAGAATGAGGCAGTGAGAGAGAGAGAGAGAGAGAGAGAGAGAGAGAAAGAGAGAGAGAGAGAGAGAGAGAGAGAGAGAGAGAGAGAGAAAGAGAGAGAGAGAGAGCTTCTTTGACTTACTATTTTTTTTTATTTTATTTTTTATTGTAATTTAACGTTACAAAACTATAATTTCTGTACAATAAAAAAGAAAAAAAGAAGACTTTAACGATTATATTTTTCCCAATAGTTTTCTCTCCGATTTAAACTACAAGAGATCATTAAATGATAAGATAAAACGTAACTTTATAATTTTCTCTTCGATAGAAAAATATATCTATGGTATATTATGATAAAATAGATGTATTATAGATGATATTTAAAAATAGTAAGGTGAGTTTCATGACACACAGGTACGTAATCGATATTGGTCGAATATCTCTTATCGTATATAAAATCTTTTATGAAGTAAAAATTGTAGGAACTATTGAATGATTTTTATTCCTTGGAAGACTTAATTAAGCGTAGAATTAATTTAAAAAAAAAAAAAAAAAAAAAAAAAACATTGTTTTCATCAAAGTAACCATCTATTTTTATTGCATCGTGGGCATTGCTGTTGACGAGGCGATATTGCTCGCGTCTCCTGATCGCCATAATTGTGTTATCGTCTTCGTTTGTGTGTAGAAATTGAAAGCCTAAAAACATAATTGTCAATTATTTCATTGAAATCATAAAGAGTGCATGACATACTTTATAAATCAAGATTATTATCTTACGTATTTTCCGTAGAAATGATTGTCCCCGAGAAAGGATCCTTTATTACCGGTGAAACTAAACATCGGCAATGGAACAGGAATAGGAACGTTCACGCCAACTTGACCAGCTTCAATTCTATCAACGAACTTTCTTGCGGTTGCACCATTATTAGTAAATACGGCAGTACCATTGCCATAAGGATTTTTATTGATAATATCGATGGCTTCATCCAAAGTATCGGCGAACATGCAAGAAAGAACTGGTCCAAAGATCTCTTCCGTATAACATTTCATAGATGACTGTGAACAAGAGATAAACGAAATGATACAATAATGTAATGAGAGAAAACTTTATTTTTTATTATATATGAGGATTAATTTAAATGTTAACAGGTAGACGTTTAAAAATTATTAAGTAAATTTTTGTCACGATTATATTTAAATGTTTTCCTTTAATAAATTATTCAACTTCATATTAAATATTGCTAAATAATATAACCATGAAATGTATATAACAAACATACGTTATGATTTAACGAACGTATTAATAGATAAAACGAAAATGATAAAGATATCAGGATCAAGATATACCTTGACATCGGTTAAAATGGTTGGCCCAATAAAATTTCCACGTTCATATCCTGGAACAACGATTCCTCTTCCGTCCAGAGGAAGACCAACACCTTCTTTCACACCGGATTCGATTAAATTACATATCCTTTGTTTCGATTGCGGCGATATAACCGGTCCAAGGTCTGTACCGGGTACGTGTCCGGCATTGACCTTTAACCTCTTGGCAGCCTCAACCAACTCCCCTATCCATTCCTTCGATTTACCAACGAAAATTGCCACGGACAAAGCCATACACCTTTGACCGGCTGCACCGAACGCCGCGCCAGTTATTTGTGAAATTGTTTTATTTTTATTCGCATCCGGTAGCACCACACAATGATTTTTTGCTCCCATATTACATTGCACACGTTTACCATGCGCACTACTCTGTTTGTATATGTATTTACCCTAAAATGTGAATCGTTAATAAAGTGATTATGTGCTAAACGATTTTATAATTTCATTTATATTCATCGAATGCTAATAATATTTAGAACATTTCTCGCTTTAAGGTCATATTCAACATTTATTTATTTCACAAGCTCAAGAAATTTTATAAATTATTCAAAAAATAATAAAAAAGAAAAGAGAAAAGAAAAAAAGAGATCAGATCAATCCTCTGTGATCCAATTTTTTGTTTATACAAAAATAATGTAATGCAAAAAAGTTTTGATATTACTAGTACAATTACACTATACTAAGTATAAGAGATGTACTTTAAAAAATAAAAAATAAAAAATAAAAAATAAAAAAGTAAAAAGTAAAAAAAAGAAAAGTAAATAAATAAAAACTTCGAATATGAAGTAATAATTCATTTTGTTTCGATGAAATGACATCAAAATATAGAAAAAAAAAAAAAAAAAAAAAAAAAAAAAAAAAAAAAAAAAAAAAAAAAAAAAAAAAAAAAAAAAAAAAAAAAAAAAAAAAAAAAGATATAGATATATCCACAGATATGTATTATCAAAGTTACACAATGTTCTAAAGAATTAATTATTGCGTTTATTAGAAATTATCTTTTATGTGATTAAAATAATAAAATTAAAAATAGATAATATTATACGTAAGGCCCCATAGTAAGCTTTAAATGTTCATTCAACAAATTATTATGAATTTTTTAAACTGTATATACAACTGAACGATAGAAAAAAAAATGAAATTAATTGTTATAAGAAAAAAGTAATTAAAAAAAGGATCGTTAATTAACATTCAGTATATTTTATATTTACGTACTGCTTGATCCGAGCCGACAAATGACACAGCCTTGATATTTGGATGTTCGCAAATGAAGTCAACCGCAGCATGTTGGCCATGAATGACATTTAAAAGACCTGGTGGGGCACCTGCTTCCGTAAAGAGATCAGCAAGGATCATCGAAGCTCCTGGTACACGTTCTGAAGGTTTTAAGATAGTCGTGTTGCCACAGGCAACGGATACTGGAAACGACCAAAGTGGGATCATAGCGGGAAAATTGAACGGACATATGGAAGCCGTCACGCCAAGAGAAATTTTATAAGAAATTATATCCATGTCCGTGGCAATATTAGGCGTTGATTCGCCCATTTGTAATATTGGAATTGACGTGCAAGCATCTACGACCTCTGTAAATAAATTTATAATTTTTTAATTAATTATTAATGAATAATCTTATTCGTAATCGAATACAATAAAATATCCTATTAACAAACGAAAAGTTATGTTTTAATTCACATAATTTTATCTGTCTTATTTATATATTTTATATATTTTCTATAAGAATATAGAAATATTTATTTCAATATTTTAATATTTTAATATTTCTAATATTTAATATCTCTGTAACGTATAATATCTAATATTAAAATATTATATTATTATCATTATATAATCGACTTTTATGGATCATTAATCATTTTGTTATTTTAATAGTTTAAGTTAAATTTAAGTTTTATTTAACAAACTTACGAAGACCACGAAGAATGTCACCTTCGGCATCAAGCGTAGTCTTGCCATTTTCCTTCACCATATTTTCCGCTATTTCTTTCTATAAATGATCGTGAAAAATAAATCATCATGTCGACGAATAAGATCGAAATTCTTAATTTATCGTTTGATTTATCCCGATGTATTTATATATCGATTAATTTATTAATTATGATCGTTATCAATCGGAGCGAAAAATTTTCATTTCTATCATTACTATTATTGCATAGAGTGTGTCTTGAAAGTCATGAATCAAACGAAAGAAGGTGATAGTGGAGCTGATTTCTAATAAAAAAACAAAGGTCGTTTCAAGTTTATAACAATTTTTATAATTAATTTCTGCTTTACTATTAATAATAAAAAAAAAAAATATATAAAAGAAGCGATTGCGTTTTATGACTTTTTTTTTTTTTTTAAATAATCTACTGAAAAATATTCGAATATTAGAATAAATTTTACAAAGTTAGCCCTAGATTTGTCACAAAATCAATAAAATAAGATATTAAAATAAGATATATACAAAGACGTTTGTATGCGACAAGAAAAATAAAAAATCATTCGCTTTTTTATTAAAAAAAAAAAAAAAAAAAAAAAAAAAAAAATGTTAAAAATATCTTTGCCCTAAATAATGTCGCCTCTAATGTTAATAATTGGTACAGTCGACAAAAATTCTACTTGATTTATATCAGAGATCTAAGAAACAAAAATGCGTATTTTTGAAAACGATTAGGAATTGGATAATTATAAATATTTTTTTTTTTTTTTTTGTAAATGATTTGCCTTATCATTTCCATTTACGTTTGTCAATTCATGACTTTCTGGATACCCTGTACATATTATACAGAGTACATATAATATATATATATATTATTTCTACAGGGTGTTTATATAAAAAAATAAATAAATAAAAATATATATATATATAGAGAGAGAGAGGGGGAGAGAGAGAGGGGGAGAGAGAGAGAGAGAGAGAGATAGAGAGAGAGAAAAATATGAACGAACCGAGTGCTCTCGTATAAGAGCCTGATACTTGAGCATTAAATTTTGCCTAGTGAGTACGCTAGTGTTCCGCCACTTCTCATAAGCGTTTTTCGCACTCTCAACGGCTCTTTCCATTTCTTCCTTCGTACATTTTGGAGTACGGCAGATAAGTTCGTTCGTAGCGGGATCATGTACATCCGTGAATTCCGTCGCTTTGGATTCTGCAAAAAAAAAAAGGATGAAGAAGAAGAAAAAGAAGAAAGGAAAGAAAAAAAATGATCGCACAGTTTTTCTTATGTCGATAAGAAAGATTCCTCTATAAACGTTATGATGACCAAAGGAACTTTTGATTTTCGACAATCGTTGCACAATGTTCGATGGAATATCATTTATTATTATTGATTGAAAATAATTAAAAATAAATTCAATCAATTCAATTATTTCGTACGGATTTGGAAATTCGTATATAAGTGAATTGGATTCGATAAAAGATTGACGATGAAATAAATTAACATTTAATTAAAATAATTACCAACGAATTGTCCGTCGATGTACATTTTAACAGTTGGTGGACTTGAACCGTATAACCTTGAAATATATCGTGCCTGAAATATTATTTATCACGTTTTTTTTTTTTTCGTATGAACTATAACAATAAACATTCGAATATCTCTTTCGACGATTAAACAATGTTATTCGATGCTCTCTCATTATGCGATAAAATGTCTCTATTACGTTTTTCATACGATCTGTTAATTATATTCTCTTGACATAATAATGACAATCTTTATTGACTGAAGACGATGACGATGTCATTAATAACTCGACCGAATCAG